CCTGCCCTGACCTGAGCATTAGATTGCAGCCAGAGTGTAAAAAGTAGCCTCTTTTTGCTTGCAGAACTGAGCAGAGGAAACCCTTGGGGACTCCTACAGCTTCCTGAAAAAGTTCAAAGCTGTTAAACCAGGATCTGGGCTGATACCTGCTTTTTCTCAATTTCATCTAGCACATTCTTTGGTGCAGTGACCACAGGGAAAGGCTGCTGGAGAATTTCTCATCGCGCAGACTAAGACAGCATGTGCAACCCACTGTCTTTCTCTCTCTCTGTTTCAGTCCCAGCCATGCCATCCCTCTTTATTAAAGTCATCAACAGCACAGCTGTCCAGGCTATGTGGGAGCCCTCCATCAAACTGGGCCAGCACAAAGGCTTCAAGCTGTACTACCGCAAGGTCCACCTCGCCCAGTACACGGGTCCGGTGCTACTTCCCAGCAACGTCACGGCGTACAACATTACCCACCTGGGTGAGTATGGTGACACACTGGGGGAGGAGCATGACCCGTGTCCCTTTCTGTCCCTGGGAGAGCCTGTTGTGATGGGAGAGCTCAGATGTGTTACACAGACACTCCGAGGGCTGGAGCCCCTCTGCCATGGGGACAGGCTGGGGGAGTTGGGGTGTTCAGCCTGGAGAAGAGAAGGCTCCAGGGAGACGTTAGAGCCCCTTCCACTGCCTGGGGGGGCTACAGGAGAGCTGGGGGGGACTTTTTACAAGGCAGGGAGTGACAGGACAAGGGGTAACGGGTTTAAACAGAAGGCAGATAGATTTAGATTGGATGTAAGGAAGGAATTCTTCCTACAGAGGGTGGGGAGGCACTGGGACAGGTTGCCCAGAGAAGCTGTGGATGCCCCATCCCTGGAGGTGTCCAAGGCCAGGCTGGATGAGGCTTGGAGCAACCTGGTCTAGTGGAAGGTGTCTCTGCCCATGGCAGGGGGTGGGGCGGGATGATCTTTAAGGTCCCTTCCAGCCCAAACCATTCTGTGAGTCACTAAACGGGAGCTGCCGCAGGGCTCCCCCAGGTTTCTGGTGTGCTTTCCCAGGAGCAGGTACTGGTTTGCAGCATCTTGTGTGTATTTGGTAAGGGGGTGTTTCCTAAATAAGCATCGCTCGGGGAGATAACACTAATGATTAAACCTGAAATGCGCGTCTTGTGTCTCCCTCGGAACAGATGCGTCGGTGGTGTACGAAGTCAAGCTCCTCGCCTATAACCAGCACGGGGATGGAAATTCCACCGTCCGCTTCGTGTCCTTGAGGGAAACTGTGGAGAGGACAGGTGAGACGGGACGTCAGGCTCGGGGTGGCTGGTGAAAAGCACTTGGCAGGAAGGTGGTGAGGCCAGACACATCCACCAGACACCCACAGCTCTGCCCCACCATCTCACTTTCAGACACCCATTTATTTTCAGCATCATAAATAATGATGAAGCAAAACTCCGTGGGGATGGGACCGCTGGTGTTGGCAGAGGTGGCTGCTTTGCCACAGGGCTTGCACCATCCCCATTAGCCCTCGTTAGCCTTAGCAAGCCAACATCTCCTTACAGCAGTCCAACCTGGTGGCTTTTTCACCAGGGGGAGGAGAATACAAACCTGTAATTCCCGGTTTTGTCTCCTAAGCTCAAGCCAGAGGTGGGGCCACTAACATGAGTGAGCCCCATGCGTAAGCTAAGAGCTGCCATCCCCGAGTGAGACTTGGTGCACTGAGCATCTCTGGTCTCCTGGCGCTCTCCTGGATATTTTGTCTTTCACTGGTGCTGGGAAGGGAGGACACATGGCTTTGGAGAGGGGAAGGGCTGCAGAGCATGAGAATATAGAAAAGGGAACATCTCTAGAGGGAATCTCTTAACTGGCCACACCTTTCGTATTCATCTATGTGTAAAAAACATCCTGCTGCTCTTGGAAGCCCTTTAAGCCTTCCAGTGAGAAGATCTTCAGGAGACAGTTATTACTCCTCTGTCTCCGTTGAAGCAAATACAAACCTCGCTGGCACCTGCCTACTCAGTGCTTTCCATCGGGATTCAGCCTGCTCTGGCGTGGTGGCTGCCTCTTGCCTCCCGCCTTGGACACAGGGTTTTGCAAAAATTCCTGGGGCACCAGGATCAGGGGAGCTGCTTTGGCAGGCAGACACCCCCCTGGCTTCCGACCCGGCTTTCCCCTTCCCCGTACACAGCTCCCAGCGCTGCCCAGGCTCCAACTTTTGCTCTGGGCTCCCCAAAAGCTGGAAAACAGCACCACTGACCTCCCCCATCTGCCCTCCTTCCTTCTGGCAGTGCTGAATCCCCCTTGTGACTGTATGAAGGACGAGCAGAACAATAAAACCTCCACGACCGGCATCATCATTGGGATCCACATCGGCGTCACCTGCATCATATTCTGCGTCCTCTTCCTCATGTTTGGGTACCGAGGCAGGTAGGGCTTGCTACTGCCGCTGCTCCCCGGGGCGCTGGTCCCTCGTGCCCTGGGGGTCTCGCACCAGCTTTGCTCACCCTCAGGCTCTGCTGCTTTGTTTTCCAGGCTGCTGATGTGCAAAAACGTGCAGGAGCAGCTGTCAACCCCGCAGGTCCCCAGGAGCCAGCGGAGTGCCACGGGCCTTGTCCTCAATGGGGCCGCTCGCCGGGATGACCGGGACTTGAACGGAAAGCAGCTGGATATGAATGAGCTGGAGAGATTATTCCCAGCATCCCCCTCCCAGGAGCAGCAGGATAAGGGAATAACGGTAAGTCCAGCGGGATGGGAGCTATGCCCCGGAAGTGCA